AAGATTTTTTTTTTGACGTGGACCATTTTTTAAAAATTATTATTATTTATTTATTTATTTTTGGCTGCGTTGGGTCTTCGTTGCTGCACGTGGGCTTTCTCTAGTTGCAGTGAGCGGGGGCTGCTCTTCCTTGCGGTGCGCGGGCTTCTCATTGTGGTGGCTTCTCTTGTTGTGGAGCACCGGCTCTAGGTGTGAGGGCTTCAGTAGTTGTTGCACACAGGCTCAGGAGTTGTGCCTTGCGGGCTCTAGAGCGCAGGCTCAGTAGCTGTGACGCATGGGCTTAGGTGCTCCGCGGCATGTGAGATGTTCCCGGACCAGGGCTCGAACCCGTGTCCCCTGCACTGGCAGGCGGATTCTTAACCACTGCGCCACCAGGGGAATCCCTGGATATATTTTAAATAGAGATTCCACAGGATTTGCTAACAGATGGGGTGTGAGGTACAAGAGAAAGTAAATGGTCAAGGATGACTCAAGTTTTTGGCCTAAGCAATTGGAAGGATGGAGTCTCTAATTTCCCAAGATGGATAAATCTGGGAAATGAACACATTTGATTGGGACAAGATCAGGAGTATTATTTGAAATATGTTGAGGTGGAGGTATATTGACTAGGAGTTGGATAGAGGAGTCTGGATCTCAGGAAAGGAATCATCAGCTGACCAATAGGTTTGGGGAGCCCTAAGACTCAATGAGAACATTAAAGGTCTGGGAGAGAAGGAGAAACTAGGTAAGGAGAAGAAAAGCTGAGGAGACCAGAAGAGGTTAGTAAGGAAAACCACAGGCATGTGATGTCCTGGAGGCCAAATGACAAAGGATTCCAGGGAGGGGACAGGAGTCAGCCACACCAAATCAAGTAAGATAACTGCTGCTCAGTAATCATTCAGTCCTGGAACCCAATTCGCCCGATTCCCAATTTTGCTGTGCTACCAGTCTCCTTGATGTATCAGTAGGCACTGAAAAAGTTAGATCTGAAATATTAAGCAGTCTTTCAACACTGGTTTATTATGGAAGCCCTAAATTAAACCAATTTTGTCCCCACATAGAAGTGTGCCTGATGCAAATACTTGCTTTCTGGTGGTTCGATTCAGCCAAGGCGTAAGGTTCCAACGAAACATAAAGAAGAGCGGCCTAAAAACCATTTACACTCACAAGATAAATAACTTACACCCTACTCCTTAGTGAGATCAGGCCCAGCGTGCATATCCTATTTCCCTTGTTGTTCTATATCTTGCATCAGAGTATTTACGTAGACACATGAACAGTTTACTTGAGTTTAAGTTAACATTTCTGTCAAGTTCACGTTTACAAATATTCCCTTCAGATGCATTTTTAAGCCTTTAAGAGGGAAGACGGTGGAACTGATATAAGAACAACAGAAGAGTTACCACAGCTTCCCGTGTGTGTCCTCTGAGTGGCAGTGAAGGGAATGAATGTGGGTAACGCTCCCCCGTATACCTGGGGTGGAGGGCTGCTTTGCCACTTGCAAGATGGGTCATAGACAGCAAAACCTCTACTGGAGGGAGTACTAATGTGAGCCAGGAGCCTTCTTTTACCTTTCCTGAATGTTAACAATATGGAAAGCAGACATGGAAAATGTTATTCTGAACACTGAGGAATACACAGTGGCCTCGCCTTCCACATTTTGAGTTTGTCTGATTTGGAACTAGGGTGTCTGATAAGCTGCATCTGAAAGGTTAACCTAGTCCCAGGTAGTCCCTAGACTTAGACATTCATCAGGGTAGGTAGGTTCTGAACACCCAAGTGTTGTGGATTGGCTGAAAGTGAGCTCTAGGGATCTTCCTTGTGGCTGACCTAAGATTTTCTCTAGAACTGTTCTTCCAGTAATTCCACCAGCTAGGCAGCTTTAGCACCTAGGCATAGAAATCAAATACAATACACACATAAAGAATACGTAGGTTTGCAAGAATTAAAACCTGTCAATCAAGAATAGATCTCTATTATTATAGTTTTGGTATACCTTCAAAAAAAAGTTTAAAGTTTGGCTGAGTTAAGCCAAAGAGTTAAAGATATCAGAATAATATGCTGGTTTTGTCTGTATTTCTAAGAAACACTAAAAATTAAAATAATAAAATCCCTATTATAAATTTTAGAATACCACATATACACTGAAAAGTATATCTTTAACAATGTCAGAAAACTCAACTCTTTTATGTAGTTATGATAGAATTAAGATCCTGGTTTGGTCCTCTCACAAAGAAAATTAGGTACAGCTTTTATTGTGTTTAAATAATTTTACATTATTAAAATGTTTTCAAGGAGTCCACTGGCCTGAAAACACTATATCCTGACATGTTGCTTCAGAATTAAAGGTTATTTTTATATTTTCCTTTATTGACTACAAATATGATTTTTGAGACTGTACATATTTCCCCTGAGACATCTGTGTTTTTCCTTGGTACACACATTAAATACCATATAAGAGAAAGTCTTAGTGGTTGTGAAATCACACAGTATAAAAAAAAGTAGGACACAGCAGGATAAAATGTGACCTCACGACATTAAACATTTTTGGCTCTGAAACTAAGGGACCCCACAGCAGTGGTAGTACTGACTTCCCCGTGCATCCCCAAAGCCCTGTGTTCGGCCTTTAATACTGTTTGTCACTAAAGGAATCAAGTGCCTTAGGGGTAGTGGATTCTATGACTTGAGTTGGGAAAAAAAATAAAATGAGTCTGGAACATGCTGTTGTTTTCAGATAGCATGGGTGCTTTGGGGAAAGTCAGAGTCTTAAAAGAACATTGGTGTGAACATAAAGGGACTTCCCATTGACTGAGTTGTAAGAATTTGCACATCAAAAACAAGTACAGAGGTGGTCATAACACGAAACTAAGCTGTGACAGAAGTTTATTTTTTTTAATAAGTAAGGGAGCAGTCATATTGAGTAGTTTATTTCTTCTAATAATTATGTCTGTTTATAATATTTACATATATAGTTATTGCTCTCTGGGTAAGCACTGAAGAATAAACACATGGAACTTGTAACTTGACAAAATGATCCTGGCAGAAGAAGGTATTAAAAAAAGTAGGGTGGATTTATTAGCACAAATCATAGGACATATGGTGAGATAATACCAGGTAGGAGATGGCACAGACGGTCATATACAGTAACTAAGGAAGACGGACAATTCAACACCGTATTTTAAAATGTGAATTACTCAGTGTCCTGAAGAGACAAGTTAACTACATGAAACTAAGTGCTCTACAATCAAGATTGAAATGAAAAATGAAAGCTCTAGAATACAACCATATTAAATGATAAAAAACAGAACAGATCAAAATACCCTAATGGCAAATCAATAGGTTAGGAATTATCAGCCATGCCCAGCTTCATACATCACTACTGCAAAAGATACCAAGTTTCAAAGACAAAAATTTATAAGAAAGGAACTTAAAAGTTTACCATAAAAAAAGTCAACTCGACACTGTGGCTCAAGTTTGAAATACCCTAGTCTTCACAATCGGACCATATCCAGGCCAAGAATCGTCAGTCAACAACCCAGATGCTTTGCTTTTCCTTTAGTTCTCGTAAGAATGCTAAAACTCAGGGAAGTACTAATACTTAAAAATTAGGAATATATCACATTAAGAATCATACTACACTGGGAAGTTAGTAAAGTACAGAAATAATGAAGAAATTACCTAAACCATAGCCTTGATGTTTTAGGATAGGTTTATGTGAATGTGCAGTAATAACTTATAATCACTGCTTATGTATGTTGTTCATCAGCTGCTTAAGGTGTTTGAGGATTTCAAGACTCATCCATACTAAATTTGTACTCATAGTTTAAAATTTTTTAGAAAATTTAATTAGTCAATTTTGGAATTAATGTTTAAACGCTCAAGAAAAATTGAGGTTCCTAATTGTTTTTCTGTATGAATTTAATGAAGTGATCATTAGACAAAGTACATATAGTTTTCAGTATTCCTCATGTCTAAAGTCCCTCAGACAGTGAAAGATTCTATTATCATTTTCCAAATTCAAACTTCAGAAGAGAATGTCTATAATTATGAAATCCTAACAACCCTTGCTAGAATCTAAAAGAAAAAGTTACTCTAAAAGCATTTAAGAAAGACAAAGCTTGAGGGGTCTTTTCCTACCAAACACAGTTATTTCTTGGTTTTAAAGACAAATGAATCATAACTTAGTAGGAATCATGTTTCCATGTTAACCACTTGGATGGATGCCATGATATATGACTGAGACTACTGCACACTCTCTTCTTCCAACTGTAGAATTTAAATTGTATTGAACGTAAGTCCCCAAGACATAAAAAAGAATCTGAAGCACAAACTGTTGGCTCAAGAAAGAAAGGAAAACTCAAAAGGTCAATACCCCAAGAAAGCTACTATTTGACCAGTGGCCAGATCTCTATGACTATCATGGAACTGTGAGAAGACCTCTCAAAGAAACAAAAGCTTCAGTCATATTTAATCTGACACATGAGAATAAATACAAAAAAATTAGAAAAAAATCACATGATTTTGGCAAATCATAATAAATATTTACCACACTCAGCACATCTTGGGTGAAAAAAAAAACAACAACAAAGGAAAAAAACAAACAGAAAAAGAGTTCACCTGACTTGTCAGCGTTGTGAGTGTTACCTTCCTGGCATTTGCTCCTGAGTGAATGAAGGGATCGCAGGAAAACCTACCCCCTAAAAAAAAAAACCAAACCCAAACAAAACAAACAGAAACATCTTTGGGAATATTAGTACTCTGTTTGCAAAATCAAGCACAATTGTTAATTAATTAGATTCAATTAGATTCAAGCACTGGTATCACACTGACCTTCACTGATTGTACAGCTTTTCAAATCATGAAGATAAACCTGAATTTATAAAACCTGATGAGGGGGCTGGTGTTCAGAATGGCACCCAATATGGTCAATACTTCTATATATCCATAAACACCATGTTGATATCCTGAAGGTGCGGGCTTGAGTGGTCGAGGGTGAAACTTGACCAGAAAGCTTTTCATGATTATGGCTTTTTTCTCATTTCTTCATCCCAATCAAAGTCTAATGGTTCATCGTCTAGTTCCAGTAAAGTGAAGAGAGATGTTTTGGAAAGACTCAGTCTCTCAGTGGATCCCCCCAGCTGAAAAGTTTTCCTTTTCCTGCCAAGCACTGTAGCTGCAGTCACAAGAAGAGGGCTGGGGCCTCCCTCACCTGGGTTCTTACTTTCAGGACGAGGAGGGGATTCTGATTTGGATTCAGAGGGGGAAGTAAAGGAGAAGTCTGCCAATCTCGCTAATGTGCAAGCATGAACCTTGCCACTTTTACTATGGCACGAAACCTCTTCCTTTCTGTCTCTTTCAGAAGCAAGATGGAAACGCCCAGTGTTGCTCCCAAGCTCTAATTCAGGCTGGACAGCTCCCTTTGCAGAGGCACATTCCCTCTTCTCTCTCGGTCCGTCTTTGTCCGGTGGCTGCCGTGACACCTCCTTTGTCTTATCTTGCAGCTGAGCTGGGCTTCTGACTTCTGAGGTAGAGGCCAGCTTTTCTGGACCCTTCCCAGGCAGAGCTGCTTTTCCTCTTGCTCTACGTCGGGGAATTTCAGGACTCTGAACTGCTGTTTTACTTGTGCCAGGAGACACATGGCTGCAATCTTCAGGAGAGTGGATCAGTTTTGACTTCTGTTTGAAAGTAAATTTTGCTAGTTTGGCCACAGGGGGACCCGGACTCTCAACACTTTCAAGGTAGGGCTCTTGCACCCGACCAAGGGATTTCTGTCTCTTTCTTTTGGGAGTTCCAAGCACTCTCTCTGGGCTCTCTACAGGAGTGGGCCGAGGATGAGGAGAGCTTGTGGGCTGCGAGGGCGGCCTGGCGGGATTCCTGCACAACTCCTGGGCCCTCTCCTTGCGCAGCTTGTGCAGTTTTCTGGGGACGTGATGAGTCAGCACTGAGTCTGGCTCATCAGCAGATACTGCTGCTTCAGAAACCATTGCTGCCTTTTTTGCCTTTTCACCCTCAAGGCTGTCTGGCCTCAGTGGAGGTTCTGCCTCTTCTGGTGTTGGAAGTGGTCCAGTTTCCAATTTGCTCCTTTGGCCTGGCTCCCTTTTCTCCTTACCCTGAGATTTGTTGTTGGAGATTTTCAAAGCCATTTCCCCCCGAGTTGTTTTGGGACTAGGAGACACAGGAACAGTGTTTTTAGGTTCCATCGGATGAGTTGCTATGGAGTCAAACCAGTCCAAACTGTCATCTTGGCTATTTTTGTGCTCAGCTGAATGCCTTCTACTTGTCAGTCTATCGGGCCCCAGATGGGATGGGGGATTGAGAAGTGGGCTTCCCCCGGGCCTGCCTCCAGTAGAGGACAGATGTGTGCTACAGTTCACTTCCTGCTG